TGATCTTTCAAGCGTTCAGGGTACACCTTTCTTGTGTGACCCTCCTTCTTAGAGTGATAACATCGAATACCAGATGTTTCGCCACTATAAGACTTCTACTAACTTTTACCTTCTTTTTTTTTCGAACTTACCATCCTTTCATAAGAATTTTCCCTTAACGGCCAAACCTTCGCCCACCGTTGAAGGTTTATGCTTCTTTCGTTCGTTCAAGTCCTTAGAATACAAGGCTGATTGAACTTCTTCAAATCTCATGGACTCCCTTCCATACAAGAGAGTTTCTTTGAAGTGAGCATGTGTTATGGGTAAAGCACACAAGAACAGCAGTGTTTGATCTTCATCATCGATCTTCACATCAATAATTTCAAGATCAAGAATCATCTTGTTGAACATATCCAACTGCTCAACCAACACTTTGTCTTCACTCATCTTAAATGAATACAAAGCTTGCTTCAGGTAGAGTCGATTCACCAGAGATTTGGTCATGTACAAACTTTTAAGTTTCACCCATAATCTTGATGTTGTAGTCTCCTTTGGTACCTGTCGAAGAACCTTATCACCAAGGCTCAACAATATTGCACTGTGGGTTTTCTCAATCATGGCCGTCTATTATTTTTCCGTTAATGCAGCGTCCATGGCTTCCTCTCCCTTCAACGCTTCCAAAAGACTCTACTAAACCAGTAGGGTTTTCATCTTCAAGCGCCACAGACCGAAGTCGTTCACTCCGGTGAACTTATTAATCTCATACTTTGTTGAAGGTATCATCTCCACGCTTGCCGCACCAATTTGTTGTGAATCGGATGTCTTAGAACAAAATATAAACGGTTTCTTTATGATCAAGAAACACACAAGGGTTAGGGTTAACAAAGAAAACAAGGTAACACAAAAAGGAACAACAAGGATTGGTTATAAACTGTTATTCTTTTCTTACACTTAGAACATGATTACAAGTATACAAGAATAACAAAATAACCTCTCTCTCTCTCTCTTGAAATTAGGATTTTATCTTCCTATTTTTCTTTATACCAAGATGAGAGACTAGCATCCTATTTATAAGAAAAATAGCACACTAACCTAATGGGATTTTTAATAATTACCCATTAAAAGTTAACTTCGGGTACAAGCTAACTTAAACAATTGGGTTTATAAGCAAGGCCTAATTTAACGTGCTAACAACCCTAGAAATATTGACTAATGCATGTTATAACAAACTTCGACTACAATACGCATTACTCCGACAGCAACATGTGAATAGACTTCGACCCCATGCTTAATTCCTGTCAAATCAAAAGCTACCCTTCGACCATACTAGAGTTCGATCCAATATCTCACAAACACAATAAGGAGATGTCTACAAATCTCAAAAGAATTATAAAACATAAATGCGTTTCACGACTCCCCAGTGTTACAACCATAGCAGACGCCAAATTAAAAAGAAAGGTGAGGAAACTCCATCTTCAACTCACATCCGATTCCTATTGCGGAGTATCTGCATATTACCCATGTAGAGGAAATATTCAAGGGGTGAGATATCATGATAATATAAAGGAAATCATGATAAACAGTATCCATTAGTGTCGCTACTCGAAAAATGCATCGCGCAACGAAGGGAAGGCGAAAAAGATAGACAGAAGAGTCGCCACCGAACTTTATTTATCCCATGGGGGGAAAGGAAAATATCGAGAAAACCTTAAGAAAGAAATGGATAAGATGGTCTCCCAACCATGAACGGGTTCGGAAGCCGGTTATGCGAAGGGAAGGTATTAGCACCCCTCGCATCCATCGTACTCGATGGGAACCTTTTGTTTGTCGATGTGTGAATTTATTTGCTTAAACATTATGCTATAAAGGTGTTTTCCAAAGGGTAAAGAAATAGGGTTAGAAACCAAGAAAGGAGGCAACAAGGAAGAAGATAGAAAGAAAGGACTCGGTAGGACCTCGTGGTCCTAGGCCTACGTATTCTCAATAGATGTGAGAAAGTCAGAGTCGACGTAGTTCGGGGGACTACAAATATGGGGGGAATGTGCTCGGCAAGGATTGTGGCCCTTGTGCCTATGTATCTTTACTTGAAAGAAGTAAAGAATCAGAGCAGCCGTAGTTCGGCCTACGGTGTGCGGGGGGAGTCTTGGTAGACGCTGCTATCGTGCGCATTCTAGCAGTTAGGTGTATTGTTGCTCGCTCGTTGGAGACTTAGGCGTTACCTGTTTGCGGTAGAACGGACGTAGCATGCCTGTTTGAAAGGTTGGTTTTCGCCATGCGAGGCAAGGTATCATGTTTGATTGATGAGATTGTTTTTGGGGCGAGATAGGTCCTCGGATAGTAACCCCTACGGGTAGTACCCGATTCATTGTCTCAAAGTTTTTGTTATAAAAAGGTGTGGCGAACGAGGCGTCTTCGTATTGAAAGACGAGCGTCGAAACCACCCTCACTACAGTGGGCATCCCAACGCTCGGAGAAGAAGAGGTCTACACCCAGTCCTCTCTCTTTAATTCAAGACAAAGGGAACTTCATTCTCTTATTAAAGATGTTTTTGGTTTTGAATGGTAAGTGCTTTGCGACAGAGAACCCTACGGTAAACGTCAGCACTCGGGATAGGAGAAGGCCTACGCCTAACCACTCCACGACCATTCAAGTTTTATTGTGAAAATAATTTGAAATGCACTCGGTGCGGGACCGAGGTTTTTAGGTGTGGAAGGTTACACAAGGAAGTCGTGAGAGGAGAGGTGGATAAAGTCGCATCTTCATATTGAAAGACGAGTACCGAGACCACCCTCACTACAGTGGGCATCCCAACACTCGAAGAAGAAGAGTTCTACACCTAATCCTCTCTTTTTAATTCTATACAAAGAGAAATCAATTTATTATGGTTTGAAAAAAGACTCGGTACGAGACCGAGGTTTTAGGAGAGATGGTATGGAAATGTCTTCGTATTGAAAGACGAGCGTCGAAACCACCCTCACTACAGTGGGTATCCCAACGCTCGAAGAAGAAGAGGTCTACACCCAATCCTCTCTTTTTAATTCAATACAAAGAATTGATTTTAAGGAGATGAGATTTGAAAATGGATGGGAAGCGTCTTCGTATTGAAAGACGAGTGTCGGAACCACCCTCACTACAGTGGTCATCCCAACACTCGGAGAGGAAGAAAGTCTACACTTAATCCCCTCTTTTTAATTCAATACAAAGATAATTGGATTTTGAAGATGGTTTGTCAATGCTTTTGAATCGAGTTGGGACAAGTAATGAAGAGAGAAAAGAGGTGGTCTCAGATCCAACATTACTCATCAATAATTTGACTGGTAATGAATTACAGAGGTCTCGTCATCGACCCAAAAGGCAAAAAAATACCCAATAACAAATGCAAAATGAAATCCAACTTAAAAGGAAAATAAAATATAACTCTACATAAAAAAAAAAGTTATGAATAAAATATATAATAACAAATTTCTAAATAAAATATAAGCAAAAGTTAACAAAAAGAATATTAACAAAACCTTTTTAAAAAGAAATAGCAAAATATATATATATACAACTTAACAAACTACAATATATTTACATATAAACTATAATAGAAATAATAAATAATAATAATATACATACTAATAAAATAAAATTAAATAGGAAGCATGGTGGGTTTGGAATAGAAACGGGATATGTAAATGATGGTGAGGGTCACATGGGACCCAAAGCCCATCGCCTCAGAAAGAACTCCTTGGACAACAAAAACGGGTCATGAACCCATCAAAACACAGTGCATTCAAAGCAAGCTGAAAACGGTATGAACATTAAAACTACCTTTGTCGAAGCTCAAACACAGAGTGAGATCTAAAGACGGAAACGAGGTGAAATTAAAATGACGTTACAAACACACTCTTCACGAGTCGCTCCTCCTCTTCGTCAACTCTATCTTCTCAGCCTCAATCCTGGTTCTGAATCTATTTTAGGATTTAGGATTAAGCTGTGTTGTGCTTGTGATTAGGGGTTGCCGTCGAAAATGGAAGGAATGGAATAAGAGGTTCGCGTCTGGGTTTGGTTTCGGTTTCTGAGATGGATCAAAAAATGGTGAGTCTGAGAGGAAATATGGATAGCGTGTGGGCTTCAGATAGGAAATGAGTGAGATTGGAAATGGCTTGGTGAGTTTGTGTGGTTTGATTTCTGGGTGAGTTTATGAAGTTTGTGTGATGATGAAGGTGTCAAGAAGCTGATGGGTGGCGGCTGCAATGGTTAGGGTTTTTTCTCTCCTCCTTTTTTGAGTGAATAGTGTTGCTATATATATGCCCAATCCAGTTAGGTTTAGCAGACAGCCTCTGCCACAATTTCTGAGACCTCTGCTCCATCATGGTTGTGTTTTTTGCCATGGTTTGTTTTATTCCGTTTTTGTATCTAAACCTGCTGTGAATCTTTTGCTGCTGGTGTTTTTGCCATTTTTACTAACACAAGTGTGTGGTCCCATTTTCTCATTGTTGTGTTGTTCTCAACATTTAACTCCAGGTGCAATACTAGGGAGGCTTAATGTCCCCAAGCTTTTGCCTCATAATATATAGCAGTAGTACTAAGCGACATAACCCGCAAGGATCAACATTTGCAGATAATTCCAAATGTGCCATAAATAACTGCACTACACAATATCAATTTTGGGATTGATCTCTATACAAGCACTAAACTTCAGGCTTGGTGTATACAGCATAACATTCTTTTTTATATTGCCTAGATTTCTGTCACCTACGGTAAATGATATGTCCTACACTCAAGGCATTGCATGTAGTTCGAGTAAAATCTTGTGTTTTTAGTTCTAGCTTCCTGCTAGAGCATTGACATAACTGTTAGCAAGAAACAGTCTCAAGCCACTTTAAGCCCTTTGTTTAAACTAGTTTGTCAGTGGCGAGAATAGTCCAGAAAATTTGGAAGCTTAATGATAGTCCCAAGCATACTCACTGTCGAGTTATCCTCCACACTTTCATTAATCTCCGCCTGGAACTGAGAAGCTCAACAGAGTTTCTCATTCAACAATCTGCCCAACTGCAACCAGGAATCTTCAGAACGTTTTTATCTCTCATCAACTCTCTTACTTTTGCTGATCCTTCCCAGTCCTCAGAAGTTGCAAGTATGTTAGATAGTTGTATATAAGCACCTGGATTTTCAGGATCAAGCTGAATAATTTGCTCTGCTGCCATCTTTCCAATAGTCTTGTTTCCATAGGATATGCAGCCTCTTAATACTGATAACCACATGTTTGCATCAGCCTGAAAAGACATCTCTTCAATAAGATACATTGCTTCCCCAAAACAACCAGCTCGGGCAAAAAGGTCAACCATGCAAGAGTAATGTTCAATCCCTGGATTTATATTATACACGTGCTTCATAGTATGGAACAGATTTCTTCCTTCTTCTACCAGACCGCAATGATCACAGGCTGAAAGAACACCGGTAAAAGTAATAGCAGAAGGCCTCACATCACAATACCTCATTTCATTAAAAAGGGTTAGTGCTTCTATTCCATATCCATTTGTCGCATATCCCATCAGCATTGTATTCCAAGAAACTTCATCAGTTTTTACCATTCCATCAAAAACTTTTCGTCCCATCTCAACAAGACCACATTTACAATAAAAGTCAACAAGTGAGGTAGAAATGATTTGGTTTGATTCAAGCCCCAAAGTAATAGCTTTAGCAAATACTTGCTCACCAAGTTCAAGGGAAGATTTACTAGCACAAGCACTGATAACACTGGCAAAGCTAAACTTGTCCATTTTCACGTCCAGCTTATTCATCTTACAAAAAGTATCTAACGCCTCACTTGGACACGCATTCAAACAACTTGCAAGCTTCATGAGGGTGTTGACATTTGGAGTATGCATCAAGCAGAGCACTAGAAACCACAATATCACGAGTCACCCCAATTTTAAAAGCATGGTCATGCATTTGCTTAACAAGTTCAACATTGAGCAAGCTACTAGCAGCACTCAAAATGTTTGCAACAGCAGAGAAGTCTCCCCAAATACCATTCCTACGCATTGACTTGAAGAGAGTCAGTGCCTCCATTTCCTCACCATTAGACACATAACCCGAAATAATTGAATTCCATATCACAGAACAAGGATCAACCATGTTATCAAAAACCCTTCTTGCATCTCTCATTCTACCAGCATTTGCATAACCTACTACCAAAGCAGATAAAGAAAAATCATCTACTTCCTTCACAAAACCCACAACCTGAGCAGCACTATCCAAATCACCACATTTCCCATAAAAATTAACAATCGAACTGCACAGAATCTTGTCAAATTCAAATTCAAAACCATCAACGAAAACACGAGCATGGACTTGTTTCCCACAATCAAGAGCAAACAAGTCAGCACATGCACCAAAAACCGTTGACAACACAAAGGCATCCCGGTGCACCATTTCTGAAGGATCTAAATTCATCTCCTTAAAGAGTAAAAGAGCTTTTCTTGGATGCCTGTGTCGAGAGTAACCATGAATGATGGAATTCCAGACAAGGGGATTCTTCATAGGCATGGCGCTGAAAAGCGTGTGAGCGAGTTGAAGGTCACCAGATTTGGAAAACGTTGAAAAAAAGAAGGTTCCAGGAGTAATGGTTTTTTTGTGTGTAACATTTCTTGTATTGGTCATGATATTTTATGATGAACGTATATGGATTCAAGTAATATGCTTGAAACAAAATAATGGATTCTTTAGTGATTCTCTTGCAAATTACTTGAATCATAGGTTTTAGTAATACAATAAGTCTTTGAAATAAATCTGCAATGCCCTGACTTATTCCATTTCTTGATTAGAAAGCAATCATAATTGAAATCACAAATAATTGCGTGTTCTCAATTAAGACTACTCTCAAATCTTCCCTGACCTGGATGATACTTTGAATTAGTCCTTGAGCATTAAAGTCAGTCACAGAACAAACTTAATCATGAGTCAATTGTCAAATCATTCTTGATGTTTGCCATTTGAAAACGTGATGAGTTGAAACCTTCATGGAACACTTCTTGAAAAATCAAAATATTATGACTTGAGAAATGAACTTCGGTACACCGCACATAACCCTGGTTGGGGCTTTAGTCACACACCATTTAAACCAATGCACCGTGACCTTGATAACAAAATAGATCCCTTTCTTGCTGATGAATTAAGTCAAACCTGGACTTCGACATATACTTCACTCATTCCTACTTAATGAACCCCAACCAAAACCTATCCAATTCAGCTCAATCTTATGATGGAAGCAACATATATTTTTTTGATTTTTCTGCCCCTGACAACCACATATGCTTATCTGTTTGTCTTCAAGGACCTTGACTTGTCTCTGATAAGGGTAACCACTTGGTGACTTGAATATAACCTCCTTGATCAGGTTAAAAACCATTGGTAATTTTTGTTAGACACACATTTCTTGATCCCCTGTGAAATGCAAAATGCTATGCAATGCAATGCTTATGTATATGCTGATGCAATGAAATAAAACATAAGCCAGAGAGGTCGGTCAAATTTTGGGGTACAACAATTAGGTTAACACGTGTAGTATCACTCATTCTTCAACAGAACACACTTAACACCAACACTAAGTTATCCAAGCATAGAGATAACACAGCAACAATTCAACTAAATATCTCATATCAATCAACCAACATCATTACTAATTATTCCCCAACTAACATGGAAATCACATGATCACAAATCCAAATAGTTCACACAACACCACATATTTAGCAAGATAGCAACATAGTTAATACGTAATGCAATGAGACTCACAATCTGACTCAATGCATATCCATGTGGTACTAATGTTTGTGAACACTCAGGTTCACTGTTCTGATCCCCACTTCCTAGGATCAGAACCACTCACTGACTCATCACCTCTGGAATCAGCTACCAGCCCAATTTACACAATGGGATTTTAGGTTCACCAACAACGGACCATTCTCCACAATTGTATGCAATGCGACTATTTATGCATACCACAGCGACAACATCATCGTACGCAGTAACCCACCACCATGGTTACTGTACACCGCCCAAAGTGGCTAACAAGCATAAAATATATATATATATATATATATATATATATATATATATATATATATATATATATATATATATATATATATATATATATATATATATCTTTTATGCAATCACAACAACATCATTAAAACATTCTCATATTACCATCATTGACATCACAACAACATCTTTGTAACAACACTCAAGATTCGTCACTTACAACAAGGCTTATTGGGAAAACAAGTAATATTGGGAAAACAAGTAATAACCACATTCTTAAACATATTAGACATAGAAATATTGGGAAAACAATTCACCTATTTATACCATGTAAATTTCTATTTATTATCTTTCCTACGCTTTAAACGATTCGTCATTTGGATATACGGTTAAAAAGTTACGATCAAAACCGTATTTAACATTTTTGTGTGCTGACGCAGAGGTCGACGCATACAACCCGTTTTTCAAAGAATTCGTTTCTGGAAGCTACAGGTCGACGCATACAACCCGTTTTTCAAAGAATTCGTTTCTGGAAGCTACAGGTCGACACATACTATTTCATTTGCCCAAAAATCACTTTTTAAAAGCACTTTTACACTAATTTATCATATTGGAACCTATGCTACGAAATTCTACCATCATACCCCTTTTTCTGCTATCTTAACATTCTAAAAATCAATTATTTTCTTGTATTACTCATGGATTAACATCATGTAATCATCAATTTCCTATCTATGATTCAAACTCTCATAAGTCAACAATGGAGGAAAGCATGTCAACAACCCAAAAATAGAATTGCCACACATATAGGCAAGCGAAATTCATCATATAATCAATATATTATAATAGTATCGTCATCCACTATTTCACAACATTTATAGCATTATTGGAGAACACTGAATTTATTAACTAAGAGAGATCAAGGTTCATAGCATAGAATGACACAACAACCCAACAACGCAAGAACCTAAATCCTTACCCATTATTCATCATACTATCCATTAGAAGATCAGAACTCCACTCTTACCTTGTAATTCCTAGCAATTGATCTTTTCAAGCTAAATGGATGGATACTCCTTGCCCTAGCCTCTTTCACCTTTTGCTCTCAATTTCACATATGATGTAAAACTAACTTCACTATTCTCTAATTCCCTTTATAAAATCCATCAACTATGGTATACCTCATTTACCCTCATTCATCCTCATACAATTACTATCATATCCTTCAAATCTCTACCCATCTAATATTCCATTTTATTATATTTCCCTACTATTATTATTATCATCTAATAATTCAATAATTCAAATAATAATAATCTAACCTTTCAAATTCTAGTTTAATAAAACATATTAAACTTAATTAATTATTTAAATAAGTTAATATATTTTACTGTTTAGCATAATTACCTAAATACTTAAAAAAATTAATTAATTAACTATACTCTCTACACTTCTGTCACTACACAATTACTCTTGCACCTCTAACAACTTAATTCCTACCATTTTAAGGTAAGTACCCCACACAAAAGGTATCCCAAAATACAATGAAACACACATAAACACATACATATACATTTATTGCATAATTTAAATACATTGAAAATTGAAATAGATCTTTCATTTTAAAATACTCTTTTATTCCAAATAACTCAAAGTGGAACCGGGGAGTACATCATAAGCACTGGAATCTAAAAGCAAGAAAGTGAAAGCAATACAGTTGGAACAAATGGTATAACAAACCACCATCATTACAGCCTCCCAAAGTGCCCAAAAACAAAAATAAACAGATGATGCTTTAATCTCTAATTGTTCATTCACATGAAAATTTCAACATGCTGTTCATAGAAAGAAAAGAAGAAGAAAAAACACAGTTAACATTGAAAAGGTAACAAACATGCCTTCCTGAATAAAACAAAAATAAAAATACTAAAAATGTATAAAATATAAAGTACAAAGTAGACATTAAAATGAACAAGAAAAATACAGATAATATCCTTATGAAACAAACTAGAGTTCAAACTAAAAAACAAATTCTACTAATCTGTTTATAAAGGGTAAATAACAAAACCCAAGTTGAAGCTGTCTTTAATCTGGAAAGACATTTTTCCAACCAATGGAATAGCAATGCATGTGCTCTTCCACTATAATTTCTTTGTGCCATGTTACAATACATGTGATATCATTGTCCTTGTTTTTAATTAATCCTTTGACTTCATGTCCTCATAGCACATGCAGCAAGTAATGCAAAGGTTTTCCTGTCTCTACTTCAGCCATACATGCATATACATACCTTTCTCAACCTCTTCAACTTTTCAACACATTGTTTCCTCAATGCCTAACAAAAGCACTAATCACTGATCTGCTGCAACTACTACCTTTTTTATTTTAACAATCAATTTACATTAATTAAACAAATGATGCTAAGTAATACAACATGAGACTAAATTATAACAGTAGACAGAGGAGGATCATGTCGGGGACTAGTATACCGTTTCGACTTTTCAATAAGTTCCGTGATATCGCTGTCCTACCGAATTTCCGGGGAGAGTTGATGGCAGCGACGTAGAACAGCTTCTAGCACCTCCTTTGATGACACCGCCTCCTCGCATCTCTAGAACCTTTTTGTGACAGTTTGAGTGAATTGATTCGACGAAAGTGGGGCTGTTTGCTGGACGGTATTCTGGATAGAGGCGGCCAGACCTGTACCGAACGCCACAAGCATTGCAGAGTGTTTTGGGGCCGTTAGGTCCCT